CGAGTCACTTGCAACTCATAGTGACCCTATGTACAACAGCCCTAAACTCTGCTCTGTCCTGTGCCAATTGCACTGTCTCCGACACACCCATCCCAATTACCCCAGTCACTGAATCACTCCACCTCATAGAGGGCCTTCCCCTCCTGTGCCTGCCCTCCACTCTACCAAGCATGATGTCCCTCTCCAGGGACTGGTCCCTCCTTACAACATGTCCAAAGTATATTAGATGAAGCCTCAGAATCCTTGCCTTCAAGGAGCAGCCCGGTTTAACCCTCTCCAGGCTGAATCTGTTTGTTTTCCCAGCAGTCCATAGTACCCTCAATACTCTTCTCCAGCACCACAACTCAAAGTCATCAATTCTTCTATCCTCCCTAGTCATTGTTCAACTCTCTGATGCATAACAAGTGGTTGCAAAGACCATGGCCTGTATCAGATGCACCTTAGTCTCCAGAAAGACACCATTGCTCTTCAGTACTTTGGAGAGGTCCCTAACAGCAGACTTTCCCATGGCAATATACCTTTTAATTTCCTGGCCACTGGTGCCAAGAGTGTTGACTGTGCAGCCAAGCAAAGGAGGCTCTCAAATATCAAAGTATTACTTTTAGATGAGTTGAAATATCAGAGTATTACATTTATATAAGTTGAGTGTTCTCTCACAACCAGCAGTGGAAACTTTAATACCACTCAGGGGCACCTCTCTGCTTCAAGTTGTATCCAGAGCATGGGGGGTTGGGGGGAGTGTACCTGCCATTCCTATGATGAACCTCTGAGGGTGTTTCCTTTGATGCTGTATAGCCATGGGAGGTCCCAGCCAACTCAGAGAGACTTCAGGGCAAACCTTCCCCCAGGACTTCTTAGTCCTGGAAAGAAGACAAGTCTGTTGGACAGAGAATGAAAGCTCTGAGAATTTCTGTAGACCAAGACTGAACCCAGGCTACATCGTCACCTCTCAGGAAGAGGCAACACTATCCTTTTTGCCATTCTCACCATGGCATTCAGATCTGAATCCTTGTTAGTTCCACTGACCAGGATGTATGAAGACTAACAGAAAATAAAACATTGTTGTAATTAGGCACCCGCCCAGTTGCTTATGACTCATCGTGATTCTATGAATAACAGATCTAAACATTTTCTCTATTTTGTGCCATCCCTAGAATCTTCTCTATGTTTTTGTTAGGTGCCAACAAGTCAACTCCAACTCAAAACAATCCTCTGAACAACAGATCTGAACCTTGCTCTAGGCTGCACCATCCTCATCATCTCTGATATACTTGAGCCTATTGGTACAGTCACTGTGTCAGTCCATCTTTTGGGGATATTCCTCTCTTTCTCTGACCCTCCACCTTTACCAACATGATGTCTTTTTCTAAGGCATCCTAAAATCCAGGCACTTCAAAAGTACTTTCCCTATGTTAATATTTATCATGTAAAATGTTAGTGAATGTAATAATTTTATCTCAGACACAGCACAGTGAAGTATGTACTATGATTATGCCCATTTCATAGATGAAGACACTGAGCCTAGAATGGTCACATGCCATGTGTGTAGTCACATACTGGTAAGGTGAGCCAAGGTTCAGAATGAAGCCATCTGCCCCCACGGGTCATCAATCTGTTCACACATTCTCGGAGTCAGATTCCAGCTAGTAGTGCCCAGGGTCAGAAAGGGACATCTAATGACAGAAAGCACCAAAGTAGACCTTTATCGCTGTGAGCAGAAAATGGCCCTCTTGTTTTGACAAGTTGAAGTGGTGGACAAATTATCTCTGAGGTCCACAGGGAGCCTTATCTAAAGAAATTACCTCATTGAGTTTGAAAATAGAGGAGTGCCTGGTAAAATGCCACACAGAAACCTGACTCATCATGTCCTCTGCTGAACTGAGAACTCTCCTTTCTCCCACAGTGATGGAGATGGGCACCAGGACAGCACAGACAACTGCCCCACCGTCATCAACAGCTCCCAGCTGGACACTGATAAGGACGGCATTGGTGATGAGTGTGATGATGATGACGATAATGATGGCATCCCGGACGTGGTGCCTCCTGGACCAGACAACTGCCGGCTGGTCCCTAACCCAGCCCAGGAGGACAGCAATAGTAAGCACTCAGCCCAGGGCTTCATGGGACCCTGGACTTCATTCAGTCCAAGACAGATGAAGGCATGTGAGGGCTCTAAGACTGATAATATCTAGTTCTGTCTTCTCTGCTTACTCACACATTGAAATGGGATATGTGAGTTGTGCTTTAATACATGTATATGGGATGGGGGCAGTGGATGTCTCTTATCTATCTGATGAAACTTTTTAGAGAAGAGAGTGATGTTGTTTTGGTTTTTATTGTTTTTTGGGTGGAAGTTTAGAGAGAAAATTAATTTTACATTAAACCATTCATACACATTATGTTTTATAACACTGATTATCATCCCCATGGTATAACAGCACTCTTCCTAATTCCTCCCTATGATTCTTGTTCCCATTCATCTTTCTACCCTGTCTCTTCTGGATTTCTGTGTTTTATTCTAGGCAAATGCTACCCTTTTGATTTGTTCTAAGGAGTGAGTATCTCCCTGATATTATAGTTCACCTTAAAGGCCTGCCTATTGTTTAAATGAAAGTTGAACCACTTGAGGTGAGAGGCTTCACCAGTCTACCACTCCAGCAAGCCTGGTCATCTTTATGTTTCTGAGATTTGTTGCACATTTTTCTCCCACGCAGTCTTGAACCCTTTAGTGTGATCCCTGTTAGAGCTATCAATAGTGGTAGTCAAGAACCATTCTGGTTCTTCTGGTCTCAGGGATTGAGGCTTATGTACGTTGAGGTTCATGCGGTCCATTATCAGTGTTGTAACAACTTTGAAAACCTGACTACAATATTAGCAATTGAATGCAAAAGTGACATAAGACATTTTAGTAGAATGTGATACACTGAATTACATTTTTTTTTTAGTGGTTGCAGGTTACTGAGATTATTGTCACTATACTACAATTTTTATAAAGATACTATTCTACATATTCTACAATAAAAATTATTTCCTTAATTCAGTTATTTGGAAAATCAGTGTAAAGTTATATTCATTTCTCACAACGGAAAAATTACTTTTATCAATTTTACTTGAAATAGCTTCAAAATGAAATATTTCCATTTTGATAGTATTTCATGATAAATGCTATACTTGCAAGTGAACAAATGAAGATTCATAAAAGAAAATTTAATGATCAGAAAATAAATATTATAAACATTTTAAATTAGACTAATGTTAATATTTCTAGTTCTTTATGTTTATTTACTGTTAGTGTTAAATTATTACTCATGTTTGTATTTTATCAAATGTATGCTATATTGTACCCACAAGTATGCTAAGCATATTTTAAAGTTAGAGTCATAAACTATTATTGCTTGAAAAATTTGTGACATCACTGTATATAAATACTGTATATAGCTTGAAAGTAATTTGATTCAATTCATTGCAAAGGATTGATTTACTCAAGTTCCCTCAGTGTAGCTCATCATCTCAGACTGAGTTCCCATTGGTTGTTTACCAAGAGGTGTGCAAGATTTTCCTTGTTGTTTGTACTGTTACAGAGAGCAGTGCTTGTCCTTCCGGCTGGATTTGCTGGATCAGCAGACACATGTATGAGATGTTGTCGTTTGGTGCCTTTTTGTCAACTGGGACTCATAGCAACTCTATGAACAACAGCTCTAAACTCTGCCGTATCCTGTGCTGTCTTCATGATCTCTGATATATTCAAGCCCATTGGCATAGTCGCTCTGTCAATTCATCTTGTTGAGGGTCTCTCTTTTTCTGACTCTCCATTTTTCCCACAACGCCTTTTTCCAAGAATTTCCTGACAACATGCTTAAAGTTTGTGAGACCAAGTTCCACCGTTTTTGCCTCTACAGATCACTTTAGTTGTGCTTCCTAGAAATTGTTGTTGTGTAACCCTGGAGTCAGAACTAGCCTGTAGTTGGCCCACCAATGAGTTTTCAGAGGCAGTAAATCACATGGGAGGAGGCTGCGCCTCTTTCTAGCTTTCTCTAAACAGATCAAAGATCTGATATATATCAATATATAACCCATCCTTGCCCAGTAACCACTCATGGTGGATCCAATTACATAATGGGTGAACTTACCAAGAATTAAACTCCATGGCCCACCCCCACCTCTTGTTTGGTATAAAAAAAGATAATATCTCTTCCAAACATATAAGATAAGGCATTTCAGTTATGGGGTAGGGGATAGATATCAGTGAAGGTGTTGAAATGGTAGGGACCTCTTAGCTTAATCTTGTATTTAGGTGCCCTTGTGGCCTTGTGTGAATTTTGTTTCAGAATGACACAATGTCAGGTATGATGTCAGTGTCATTCAGTGTCCTGAAAGCTCCCTTCTACTGTGTCATTCATTTTTCCTGTGTCCTATGTGTTTGGGTCTTTATTTTGTACAACTGGTGCCCTTGTTTTGTTGAAGTCCTAACCGCATGTTTACCTTGTTTCCTGAGTAACCCACCCTGGTTCAGTCAGACAGACCCATGGTGACTCGTCTCTCCCACGACACTGAACTCAGAGCCTCATGAGGTTCTCCGCTTCCAGCTAGCTGCAGCCTCCCCGCAGCTCTTGTAAGCAGCAGTGGCCTGTAGACAATAGCAATTACGAGAACACAGGCCCCTATGTCTGTTAGAGGAAAGCTGAAGTACATCTTCTGGAAAGCCCTAGTATGAGATCACCAGGGATCAGGAAGTAGCTCCCTGCTAACAATTCAGTTGGGGTGATGCTCGTACTCTTAGAGGCTCCTTTTCTGGGGGTCCCAGAAAAGAAAGACTAAGAGAAGGAGAGCACAACAGACAATGGCTGAACTAGGACTTCAGATTCAAATGTCTTCAGTGGACAAATGAGTAAGAAAACGTGCTCTAAGCCAAGAGCTCAGATAGGACACAGCAGAGAGTGGTGAGGACCGTGGTGAATGAGAAAGGGCACGTCTACCCAAAGCTTAACAAAGTCTGGTGTTTTTAAACCATCATATTAGCTGAACAAAACAAGCTTGCAGACCAAATTCTGTCTAGAGGCCACCAGAAGTGCTTGACCTGGAGCTGTTCAGATGATAATAATAACTTCTTTGTTCACATAGTCTAGAAAGTGCTAAGTTTTTTTAAAGTTCAGGCTTAAGATCTACCAGTTCACAAACTAAGCTCACATTATAAATAGATCTTCCTAGAGACAGATTAGGAGTCGATTGTTACATTAACCCTTTACAAAACCTTGAACATCTTCTGAGAGCTAGCCTGGTCATCCCACCACAAGGGCCCAACGCCCCCTAAGACTTTGCTGATCCCAGGGCCTCTCTACCAGCCCTGAATGACAGTGGTAACTCTGGAGGTAGTGGTTTGGGGACCTTTCTTCTGTTCCATGCCCAGATTCCTTCTTTGTGAACTAGAGGCAGTGGGTGGAGGCGTTACTAAGCAACTCTTCTCTTTCTCCACCCCTTCAGGTGATGGAGTGGGAGATATCTGTGAGACAGACTTTGACCAAGACCAGGTCATTGACCGGATTGATGTCTGCCCCGATAATGCAGAGGTCACCTTGACTGACTTCCGGGCCTACCAGACTGTGGTCCTAGATCCTGAAGGAGATGCCCAGATCGATCCTAACTGGGTGGTTCTCAACCAGGTGAGTGTCACACCCTTGACAGGTCCGAGGACAGCCAATGGGTTAGATTTGCATCTTCACAAGAGCCCCTCTCAAAACCACAGGTGACATCACAGGGGTGTTAACTGAACCAGGCACTGTTCCACATCTCACCTATTTCTCACAAGAGCATTATGACCAGGTGCTTCCAGAAACACCATTTTATAGATGATAGATTCAAGGCATAAAAAGTTTAAGTGACTTGCTCATGGTAGCACTACTGGTAACTGGCTGAGATGACAGTAATTGGGAGCAAAGAAGCATAAACTGAGAGCCCACATCACCAATCTCTCCTATAGACTGCTCCAAAGTGTCTTCTTCTTGCATATCTAAAGATCAAAGGGAAACTTAGAAGACTATCCAGAGTCACACAGCAAGCACATTCATTAAAAGTATCACCACATGCATCTAAATTCCAAAATCAATCTCCATAATAGTCTATGTGTTTCCTACTGCCAAGGGGGCCCTTTAGAGTAGTGAGAGAAGACACTCACCCTGAAACCCACAGCATCCCTTTTCAGCAGGAAGTAGCTAAGAGAATACGCCATCCCCTTTTCCTTATGACTCAGGGTGAAGTCTCTCTCAGGGAGGAGTGATAGGGAATGGCAAGGGACACACTGACAAAGGAGATTAATCAGAACTGGCTTTGACAAGCACTGTGGCAATTGGACAATTAAAACAGGCATGGGGGTGGGGGGAAAGAAGAACGAACTGGGGAGGAGGGTGGAGAAAACAGTGCAACAATGAATGAATGAAAACCCAAAATCTCTGTAAATGTTCATTAAAACGAATAAAATTTAATTAAAAAAAAAGTATCACCACAATGGAGGGTTTATTGATGAATCAGCTTCAGTGGCAGTGTTAGCCAAGTTATTTCTATTCCATTTTGGCCTGATTCATTACACTGTCTTTACAAGTAGTGGCATTTGCCCTCTCTGGGCACAGAACAAGGTCAAGCAGTTTCTCACATGTGACATCTGTGTGTAGGCAGAAGTCAGCCTTCACTAAGCATCATCGTGGGCCAGGACCCCATGAGTTTCCTCCTCTGCCTGAGCATGGCTCTTCACTGCCTCCCTCTCCTCTCTTCACAGGGCATGGAGATTGTGCAGACCATGAACAGTGATCCTGGCCTGGCAGTGGGTACGTCCACGGTGTCAGCCGTAACTTCAGTCAGAATTCACTCTTGCCTCCTACTCATGTGGCTTGTCCGTTTCTTTAATCTTATTCTGACCTCTACAGGGTACACGGCTTTTAATGGAGTTGACTTTGAAGGGACCTTCCATGTAAACACCCAGACGGATGATGACTACGCTGGCTTCATTTTTGGCTACCAGGATAGCTCCAGCTTCTACGTGGTCATGTGGAAGCAGACGGAGCAGACTTATTGGCAAGCGACTCCATTCCGCGCAGTCGCAGAACCTGGCATTCAACTCAAGGTACTGGTGGCTTGGAGCCGCTCACCTCTCTGTCTCCTGAGCCCTTCATTCTATACTCATGAGTTCATCTAAAAAATTGATTTGTCATTGGTCACACGTAAGTCAGAGAAAATTAGCACTGACCAAGGTTTTGCCTTCATTCCTACTTTGGGCATGTTGTTATAGTCTTTGGGGCGGGGGGGTGGGGGGGAAGACACCATGCTTGGAAGACTTCATGCTCCACAAGATGGATTGACACCGTGCCTTTGCAAAGGGCTCGAGTAGATCAGAGATGATGAATGATGAATATGGCACAGGACAGGGTAAGATTCATATCCATTGTTCACGGGGTCGCTATGTATTGTAGTTGACTCAATGGCACTTAACTGGTATGTTGGAAGCAATGGATGATTATAATGGTGAGAATTGCAGTTGGAGTAGGGTCAAACAGATGACAAATTTGGGGATTCATCTTCAGACACACTATATTGGCAGCTCATTAACCTCAAGGGCCAAATTTGTACGGGAGGGCTGATGGGTTACCTCTTGCTAGCCTGCTAGGAGAGGAGACTGACCTGGACAAGCAGACATCTGAGGACATCTCATTGGGGAAATGTGGGACATAATGAATTTATAATAAGGAAGTGAAGTAAGTTCATAGAATACTGGCCAGTACTTATTATTAAAGAGCTGAAGGGCTTCTGTCTAAGTCAAACCATTAATTCATCACCACACTGTCTGCTCTGAGAGGCAGAAAGAGTAGTCTGTGTAACCTCTTTTAAAACTTGCTCATATCATTGTCTAGGCTGTTAAGTCCAAGACAGGCCCAGGCGAGCATCTCCGGAACTCCCTCTGGCACACTGGGGACACCAGCGACCAGGTCAGGCTGCTCTGGAAGGACTTCAGGAACGTAGGCTGGAAGGACAAAGTGTCGTACCGCTGGTTTCTGCAGCACAGGCCCCAGGTGGGCTACATCAGGTAGGCAGAGGATCCATTTCTTCCCCTTGGACCTAAAATAAACACACACTCCTTTCTGCAGCCCTGAACTGGGAGATTTGTTAACATAAACCAGGTTGATGAGACAGCAGCTTCCAGAAAAGAGGTGAGGGAGAGGTACCCAGGCTTAGACTGTCCACTCTGGACATTAGAGCCAAACTGGAGAAGTAGGAAGCTTCTTCACTGGGGAGAAACCCCTCCCTCTACCACACTCTTCAGAGAAGCCTGAGAGTAGCCAGGCTGTGAGGTAAGAAGTACAACTGAGTCTCTGATTCTCAGCTTCCTCTGTAATACCTCTGGGTCCTAGGCCATCATATTATTGCTCCTTTCACACCAGATTGTAATGAGTCACACTTGGTCTTCTCTGCTGGATGATCACTTCCACGAGGGCAGCACCTACACCTTCTCTCAGTCACCCCAGTGCCCAGCACAAGGCCTGGCATCTACCATGTGCAGCATGAGCTGATCTTCAAGTGCAGTGTGCCTTATTTTTCTACAGAAATACTACTTTAAGATAAAAACCTCCACAGAAGTTAGTCTGGTTTAGGACTATGCCTTTGAAATTTAGATTGTATGCTTGCTTTTATCAGTACACAAACTTTCAGATAGAATAGGGCTTCAGACTGGCTCTGTCATGGCCAATGGAGCAAAATTGGAACAGAATTGACTTTTAAAATTTACATGAAGCATAACCCTAACCCAAACAAGAAAAATTACAGTTGAAAATTTTAGAATAGGAGAATCAGAAAAGGTGTGGAGAATCATCCCAGGAGCCCAGTGAAGGTGACTGGGTTATTGCCAGGACTGGGGAAGGACAATCAATACACATTCAGTATTTCAGAGTTGCCACCATCTTTGAGCAGGGCATGTCCTTCTGAGTCTGCCAGTCAAGAAATTTGGTTGCTAAGCAACATGTCCACTGCCCTTGGTTTCTAATAAAGAGAATATGTTTCCAACAGCTATAATGTTATAATTTTTTGCCTTCTGGTTAGCATTCCATTTCACCCGTCTTTTACAAATTCAGGCTTATCCTAGTGTTTTCTTCATTGCCTTGTCTGATCCAGAAAGGCCTGGAAGCCCTGAGATAAACACTCCTATCAGCTTGTGGCAAGCAATTAGGGAAGAGTACTGACTGAGTTCTCCAGGGATAAAGACACGCAGGAGAGTTCACATATGTTCTTTCCAACATTACATTAAGTATACTCTGCCTCACAGTAAGATATTCTCAGCTGTCTCAGACTCAATGCCCCTTAAAGAAGTTAAATACATATACACATATTCTTTTTTCTGTTCAAAAATTAAATCCTAGAAAATGAATTTCATCTCTAATAACATAATGTTGTTTGTTGGTGGTGGTGTGTACTATAGAGTCAGAACTAACCCATAGGTGGCCCTCTGGCAGATTTTCAGAGGCAGTTAATCACATGAGAGGAGATTGTCCATCCTTCTTCTGTGGAGCACCTGGTGACCTCGAACCACGTGCCTTCAGTATTGCAGCGCAGCTTCTTGCCACTAGACTACCAAAGCTTCCAAATAACATAACTGTTGTTGTTGTTGTTGAGTGCCATCGAGTAGAGTGTGACTCATGGAGGCCCTGTGAACAAAAGACCTGAATCCTGTTCTATAACTATCATTGTTTCTCTACGTTCATAGAGTTTCCAGAGGCATGTGGTTTAGGAAGTGGATGCCACACTTGCTTCCAAACCTGAATCAATCTGGGAGCTCCACCAAACACCACCACGATGAGTAATATTATGGTGTTTGACACACCTGTGGCACAGTGTTCAACATCACAACACCTCCAAGTTATTTCAGTACAGCAAACAGACCACTGCTATGCCACTTACAAGAATGTTCATCCCAAAATCAATTAAAATTTGGCCCGAGGGCCTGCAGCCCTCAAGCATGCCCATCAAATGCTGGTTGACTATAAACCAGAGACTCTCAGTCCCTAGCTCATTGTTAGCTAAATCTGGCAGGTCAAATCAGTTGGCATCCACTTGTGGATGGAAAAAAAAGGCCAAAAAAAATTTAAAAAAATCCAAACGTTCCATACGTGACCCTCATCAAGAGGCGAGAAACTTCTTCCAGAGTCAGATCAATCAACAGGAGCCTCTAAGCTGCAGACCTAGCCCAGCACTACCACATTTTTAAATACAGGCAATTAATTTATAACAAAATAGTCCTGGAGAGGGTGAAACCAAGCTTGGAGTCAAGGATTTTGAGACTCTGTCTCACATACTTTGGTCATGTGGCCTGAAGGGACTAGTCCTTGGAGAAAGACATTATGTTTGGAAGGATCAAGAGACAGCACAGGAGAGGAAGACCCTGGATGAGATGGCTACAGCAACTGGGGTAATCATGATAGGCTTGATATAGTCAGTGAGATTGGCTCAGGATAGAGCAGGGTTCAGAGCTATTGTGCATTAGGGTCACTATGATTCATAGTCAGATCAATGACACATAGAAACAACAACAGTACAAATATTCACCTGTGGCCACATGACAAAGTAAAAACACTTTCACTTCTACCTAAAATGACTATGTTGTTATGTGCCTTGAGTCACCTGCAACTCATAGCGACCCTAAGCCCTGCTCTATCTTGTGCCAACCTCACTGTCTCTGACACACCTACCCTCATTATACCAGTCACTAAATAAATCCACTTCATAGAGGGTCTTCCTCTCTTCTACTATCCCTCCACCCTCTCAAGCATGACATGCCTTTCCAAGGACTGGTCCCACTTTGCAATATGCCAAAAAATATGTCAGATGAAGCTTCAGAATCGTTGCCTCCAAGGAACATCTTGATTTCACCTTCTCTAGGATGAATGTGTGTGTTCTCCTAGCCATCCATGCTATAATCAATGCTCATGTCCAGAACCACAGCTCAAAGGTATCAATTTATCCTTCTATCTCCCTAGTCATTTCCCAACTTTCTGATGTATAGTGAGTAATTGCAAAAAAACATGGCTTGAGTCAGGCACACCTTAGTCTTCAGACTGACATCATTGCTCTTCAGTATTTTGGAAATGTCTCTGACAGCAGATTTTCCCAATGCAATTGTCTTTTAATTTCGTGGCTGCTGGTACCAAGAGTGTTATTATGGAACTAAGCAAACTGAAACTGCTAACAATCTCAGTCTCTTCATCATCTATCATGATGCTGCCAATAGGCCTAGTGGTGAGAGATTCTTTGCTTTCTTGATGTTGAGCTTCAATCTATATTAAAGGCTGCAGTCCTTGAACTTCTGTAGCAAGCACTTCAGGTCCTCCTCATCTTCAGCAAGTAAGGTTATGTCATCTGTATAAAACAGATTGTTGATGAGTCTTCCTCCAATCCTGAGGTCACATTTCTTCTCACATAGCCAAGCCTCCCGGATAGTCTGTTCTACATATAGGTTGAAAAGGTATGGAGATACGACACATCCCCAGCATACACCCTTCCAATTTTGAACCATGCATTGTTTCCTTTCTCTGTTCTGACAACTGCCTCCTGGTCCAAGTATAGGTTTCGCATTAGCACAATCAAGTGTTCTGGGATTCCATTCCTCTGAGTCAGCCACAGTGTACTCTGATCCACACAGTCAAAAGCCTTTGCATAGTCAATGAAACACAGACATTCCTCTGGTACTCTCTGCTTTCAGCTAAGATTCATCTAACATTAGCTATAATATCTATAGTACCACAGCCTCTTCTAAACCCAGCCGGCAGTTCTCTGTTGATGTGCTGTTCCAGTCATTTTTTAAATAATTTTCAGCAGAATTTTGCTTGCATGTGTTATTAATGATAGTGTTTGATAATTTCCACACTCTGTCAGGTCACCTTTCTTTGGAATGGGAACAAATACAGGTCTCTTTCAGTCAGTTGGCCAGATGGTTGGTTGTCCTCCAGATTTCTTGGCAAAACTTGGTTAGCACGTTCAGGGCAACGTCTGCTTGTTGAAATATGTTAATCGGTACACCATCAATTCCTGGAGCCTTGTTTTTTGCCAGTTCTTTCAGAGGAGCTTGAACTTCTTCCTTCTTCACCACAAGCTCTTGCTCATATGTTGTTTCATTAAATTTTTCTGTGTCCGCCAATTCCTTTTGATACTATGACTATATACTCTTTCCATCTTCTTTTAATGCTTCCTGGATCATTTCATACTCTGCCCAAAGCATTCCTTTTATTTTTTAATTATTATTCTTTTTGTGTGAGTGTGTATGTGTGTGTACTTTCAAATCTGATCTGACTGAAAAGGGATAAGATCGCCCCTTTTTCTCCAGTGGAGCAGCTGGTGGTTTCAAACCACACGCCTTCGGGATTGCAGTGCAGCTTCTTGCCACTAGACTACCAGAGCTCCATCCAAAGCATCCTTAAGTATTTCAACTCATGGCTTGTATTTGTTCTTCAGTTCTTTCAGCTTATAAAATGCTGACCAAGTTCAGCCCCTTTGATTTTCTGACTCCTGCTCTTTGCACATTTCATTGTAATACTTTACTTTGTCTTCCCACACTACCCTTTGAAATTTTCTGTTCAGTTCCTTAATTTCTTGATTTTTCCCTTTTGCTTCGGCTTCTCAGTGCTCTAGGGCAATATTCAGAGTCTTATCTACATCCATCTTGGTCTTCTTATCTTCCTCCTCTGTCTTTGTAATAATGACCTTTTGCACTCTTCATGGATGATATTCTTGATAAACTCCCACAGCTCATTTGGTCTTCGTTCATTAGTGTTCAAAGTCTCAAACCTGTTCCTGAGATGGTTTTGAGATTCAGGTGGGATAGGCTCAAGATCAAATTTTGGTTGCTGTAGATTTTATTTCCTTTTCCTTAGCTTCAGCTTGAACTTGCATATGAGTAGTTGGTGCTCTGTTCCACAATCAGCTCCTGGCCTAGTTCTCACAGCTGTTATCGAGACTCTCCAGTGATTCTTTACATAGTTGTAATTAATCTGATTTCTATGTATACCATCAGGTGAAATCCATGTGTATAGCCTGGGTTTGTTTCTTATAAAAAGTATTTGCAATTAATAAATCATTGTACAAAATTCTATCATTCTATCTCGTTTCATTTCTTACTCCAAGTCCATGGTTTCCAACTAGTGATCCTTCTCTGTTCCCAACTTTTGCATTCCAGTCACCTAATATTATTAATATATCTTGACTGCACATTCAATTGATCCAAGATTGCAAAAGTTGGCACAAATCTTCTATTTCCTCCTCATTGGTTCTAGTTGTTGGTGCACATATCTGAATGATAGTGGTATTCACTGCACTTCCTTATATGTGTATAGATATTATCCTGTCACTCACAACATTGTATTTCAAGATGGATCTAGAAATGACTTATTTAACTTCATTTTTTTTCATTTCCTGCATAGTAGATCATATGATTGTCTGACTCAAAATGTCCCATGCCAGTCCATCTCATTTCACCAATATCTAGTATGTCCATGTTTATGCATTCCATTTCTTTCTTAACAATGCCAATTTTTCTACATTCATGGCTCTCACATTCCATGTTCCAATCACTAGTGTCTGCTTGCAACTGTTCCTCCTCCTTTGTGTTTCCATACTTCAGGTCTCACCCTGAGTTGCCATGTCTGCTAATCTAAGTGTGCTGTATTGTACATAGGATTTTCAAAGTCCTGCTGTTTCGGAAGTGGATGGTCAGTCCTTCTTCCTAGTCTGTCTTAATTTGAATGCTAATATTTAGAACAGTATCTGACAGGCAAGCATTTTACAGAAAAGAGCAGGTGAAAGGTATTTCCCCAATTATAGAAATAACCAATAGATTCACTGTTGTCCTCACCCTTGACACGTATGTCTTGACCCACTCCTTTCCCTGCTCCACCAGCATTTCCTTCTACTCCCACCTACTCCTTCAACACCTATCTCCCCCTTTATATGATGCCTTATATCTCAAGCCTTCTGGGCTTCTGTGATTCCAAGCACCTCACGCTGCTGCCAGTTTCATATACTGTGGCCAATATCTCTTGAATTTAGGAGTCTCTAAGTCCAAGTGATTATAAAGGTAAAAAAAAAAAACACCAAAAAAAATTTAAAAAGGTGGCTTTATGACACAGATTGTGCTAGTGATTCCTGGGCAGCAGAAGTGTTGCCCATGGTGATATGAGTGTCTAGAATGATGAGCAATATTTAATTTTTAAATAAAAGATGCCCAGTCATTCTTAAGCTTACCCTGGAAAGTTACATTTCTAGTAAAACAGTATAAAAGTACTGTTGTTCCATGTTGTTCACATGGGAAAGGGAATTCGGTTCTGGGTCTGGATAATTATAAAGGAGTGCATTTGCATTACTTCTCCATGAACATTCAAAAGATGCAGGGATGTGGGACAAGCCTGGGTTGCTCTATGCAGCATATGGGAGATTATCCAGCATCCCTGGCTCCTGTCATGAAGTTTCATCTGACAGCCAAAAATATGCCCCACAAATGTCCAAAACTCTCTGAAGGAGAGCTGTTCTGCTGGTGGAGAGACTTTGCTTTATTTTTCTGCCAAGCAATATAAATTAAACCTAATGGGAAGCAGACGTTTCTACTCTCTCTAAACAAGGTAAGTCACAAGACAATGAAATCACAAGATCCTGCTCTCAACATCAGGCTGTGATTTCTCTAGAATTCATGATCAAGTTCCTATTGAGCTTGACCATGTACCAAACAATGTGTTAAGCATTTTGAGAAAGAAAAAAAAATTGGAAAATATGGACACATGGTCCTTGGCCTCAAGGAACTTTCAGTCTAGTAGGGGATGAGGAAAGAGCTAGAGAGCAGCCTGAGTCAGTCAGAGACTTCCTACATAAGAGAGTCCCTGCGCCTCTCAGTGAGGACTGAAACCTGAGCTTGTTTGGATTTCTGGGAGACCCATTCTGGCTGTGTTGTCTCCAGGGTGCGATTCTATGAAGGCTCAGAGCTGGTGGCTGACTCCGGAGTCACCATAGACACAACCATGCGTGGCGGCCGACTGGGTGTTTTCTGTTTCTCTCAAGAAAACATCATTTGGTCCAACCTCAAGTATCGCTGCAATGGTAAAGTACATTTCTATCCCTACATGGTATTACTACCTGAACTAATCAGTGTCCTCGTCTTTGATACTGCACCACCTTCCTGCCCCAAAATCCAAAGCCCACACTACATAGTTATGAAAACCTAATAGTCCTTTTGTAAGGAAAACAAAAAGTATACATCATTTTTCTATTTTACAGATACGAATGTTCAAATGTACAGAATTTAACTGCTTGGGGGTGGTATTCAGTGAGAAATTCAGTCAGGCTGACTTTTCAGGCAGTTTTTTGGGTGGTGGTTTGTTTTTTTTTTTTTCCATGCATTTCAATCATAATTGCAGCCACAAAAATCAAGGCAGCCTGCTAATTTTCTTGAGGCCTGTGAATGTGCACTTCTGGGCTTCTGGCCAAGGCTGTACAATACCTCCTGAAGTAAAAAATGGCTGACAGAATTCTGGGCTTCTTGAGCAGGTAGATAGTGACCTCTACAGGCTCCCCACACATTGAGAGAGGAGCCCAGATTCCTGCGGGTTCAGGAGTCCTGCTAACCTGGTGTAGCAGTGTGTGAAGTGTTCAGCTGCTCACCTGAAGGTCAGTGACTTAGAAAGTCCACTCCCATAAAGATTTACATCCTTGGACACCCCATAGGATAGATGTGCTTTGTCCTGTAGTAGACAGTCAGTATGCACTGGGGCTCAGTGGAGAGGGTTCGGTTTGGGCCTCTTACTGACCTCCCCTGCCTTATACCTTCTTTGCAGACACTATTCCGGAAGACTTCCAAGAATTTCAAACTCAGAATTTCGATCGCCTGGATAGTTAAACCAAGGAAACAACCTGTAACTGCTTTTCCAAATTCTCAAGCCATACATGTTCTAACTTCTCATGACTTTTTATATAAATACACACTCAGTGGCATTCTTTTACCAGCCCTGATATATCAAAACTTTTTCTATGAATGTGGCAATAAAGAAAAGATGATTTCTAAAAACAATGGTGTTTGTTGTTCAAGTGTGGATTCCGGCTTTCAGAGAGAGAGAGAAAGAGGGAGAGATTGAGATTGAGATTGAGATTGAGAGAGAGAGCGCACGCACGTGCGCGCACGCTCTGTGTGATATCTATATTGAAATTACAGAGGAATCTTTTTGTTCTTAGGAGAAGTCAGTCTAATCAAATGTGTGTATGAATAAAAATGTCCAGGGCAAAGGTTTTATCTCTGATGGTTCCAATTAACTTAACTCACACCTGCAAAACTCCTACCCGTCCCAGGTTCGTCTCTGCAGCCTCCTTAATCTGAGTGAGGCCGGGGCCCCCTTCCCGACCAATTCCTAGGTAGATTTGTTCAGTGATCTTGGCTCACTATACAATGCACACACACACACATTCACTCCAGCAGCTACACGATTTTGTGCTTCTTTATATATTTGGCTCCCCCTAGTGGAAGCTGAATTTACTGAGGCTACGAACTATTTTATTCTATCTAATCTGTGTCCCCTCCGGGTTCACTGACTTACTGTAGCAAGGGGCTCAAATATGTTGAAAATGGTGAGGATGACATAGGATAGGGCAGGTTTGGGATCCATTGGTGGATATCTAATATCCAGCATGTAGTAGATAATCGGATGGATGGATGGATGGATGGATGGATGGATGGATCGATCAATGGACGAATGCACAGAGACGGACAAGTTTTGGGGACTACAGATAATAGATAAAGCCGCCTTGGATCAAAAGCTGCTCACCACATAGATTCCAACTATGGAATATCAGTTACATGGCTTCATTGTATGCACAGGGCAGAAGTTTACCTCTTGTGTACACTAGCCTAATTTCTATTTCATTCTTAAAAACTCAAGGTAAAGGCAGCTCTGGTGGTCTAGTGGCGAGAAGGTGCACTGCAATCCCAGAGGTACGAGGTTCAAATCCACCGGATGCTCTGCTGGAGGAGAAGGGGCAATCTCCTCTTCTACTGGTCAGATCCAATTTGATGGGACACACAAAAACAATAATTTTTTAAAAAAATTTAAAAAAACCTCAAGGCAAATATCAAAAATTTCACAAAAATCTCTGGGATAAAGCATTCCATCCACAAGACTGTGATTCCCTTTGGTTTTTAGTCAGGCGCTGATCAAGTCCACTTTGTGTTGAAACCAGCTCACCTTGTCAGTCAGCAATTTAGTTTGAAGAGCTGATGGCATGAAGTTGGCTGTGATGAAGGCTTTAGGTCACAGAAGTGGGCAGATCCAACCAAAGAGGATCTCCTCAGCCAGAAGCGGATTGTTAAACATTTAAAACCAGCATGTACAGGAAAAACGAGCTACTTGGTCCAGTTCCTAGTAGCCCCTCCTTTAGTTGCAGAAGCTGATATGCAAAAAAGGTTGACGCTTTGCAAAAACTTGGTGTTTCACTGGTGGAGAAGTGAAATAAGCTGTGTTAATAAAGAAGTATTTCAGAGAAGTTACCCAGACAAAGTCTATGATAGGGATCGTATGGCAAGTGTATTTCGCTCCCAGATTTCCTCAATGTTCTTCATACTCAGTTCAGCTTTAATGCAGTGACTCAAATACAAATTAACGTTCCGTTCAAGTTACTAAGAGTCTTATTTAGAATAAAAATAACTTAACAGCAAAAGGGAACACAATTTGAAAGTGAGCAAAGGACTGATTTGAAGAGGCGTTTCTGTAAAGATGTTATAGATACAGAAGCAGCAGCAAGCACATGGAAAGACGCACAGTATCGTCAGTGAGGTGTCATCAAAACCACAATGAGATCATCCTTTACAGCTCTGAGGATGAGTATTATTAAAAATTCATAATGTATTGATGGCGATGTGAAGAAATTAGATCCCTCGTGCGTTGCTGAAGGGAATGTAAAATGGTACAGCTGCTGTGGCAAAAACGTTTGGCAGTTCCTCACCAAATTAAACATGTAATCACCTCTGCTTATTATTGAAAATCATCAAAAGCAAGCACACAAATAAAAACTTGTGGTGGTGGTGGTGCTGTGTACCATCAAGTCAGACCAACGCATAGCCAATCCTGCAGTGGGTATTCAGAGGCAGATATCACACAAGAGGAACGTTAATGGTGCAACTCAAAATAACAAAAATATAAGATCTAATAAAACGTGATGTATCCATACAATGGGAATCTATTCCTCTTTTAAAAGGAATATAGTAGTGATACATGACACAACATCGATGAGCCTTGAATATATTAAGTGAAAGAAACCAGATGCAAAGTTGGATGTTTCTATTTCTGCAAATCAGGCAGAATAAACAACTCTACATAGACAGGAAGCAGACCCTTGTGCCAGGGTTTGAGGAGGAGGAAGTGGCCCCTGGGTACAGGATTCCCTTGTTGTTGTTGTTATGTGCCATCGAGTCACTTGTGACTCATAGCGACCATATGTTCAACAGCTGCTCTATCCTGTGCCAATCGCATTGCCTCTGACACACCCATCCCGATTACCCCAGTCACTGAATCAATCCACCTCATAGAGGGTCTTCCCCTCCTGAGCTGTCCCTCTACCCTACCAAGCATGATGTTCCTCTCTAAGGACCGGTCTCTCCTCACTACATGTCCAAAGTATGTCAGATGAAGCCCCAGAATCCTTGACTCCAAGGAGTAGCCTGGTTTAACCCTCTCCAGGATGAATCTGTTTGTTTTCTTGGCAGTCCATGGTACATTCAGTACTCTTCCCCGCACCACAGCTCAAAGGCGTCAATTCTCCTATCCTCCGTAAGTCATTGTCCAACTCTCTGATGAATAACAAGTGATTGCAAAAACCATGGCCTGTATCGGGCGCACCTTAGTCTCCAGAGAGACACCGTTGCTCTTGAGTACTTTAGAGAGGTCCCTAACAGCAGACTTTCCCATCACAATACATTTTTTTATTTTCTGGCTGCTGGTGCAAAGAGTGTTGACTGTGGAGCCGAGCAAACTGAAGCTGTGAACAATCTCAATCTCTTCGCCATCCATCCTCTGATGCTACCAATTGGTCCGGTGGTGAGAATCTTTGTCTTCTTGACGTTGAGCCTCAGTCCATACTGAAGGCTGCAGTCCTTAACCCTCTACAGCAAGTGCATGAGGTCCTCTTCAGTTTTGGCAAGCAGGGTTGTGTCATCTGCGTAACACAGATTGCTAATAGTTCTTCCACCAATCCTGATGCCACACTTCTCCTCATAGAGCCCAGCCTCTTGGATAATCTGTTCTGCATACAGGTTGAAAAGATATGGAGATAGGACACATCCCCAGCATACACCCTTCCCAATTTTGAAACATGCAGTGTTACCCTGCTCTGTTCTGACGACTGCCTCTTGGTCCAAGTATAGGTTTCGCATTAGCACGATTGAATGTTCTGGGATTCCCATTCTTCTCAGAGTCAGCCACAGTTTGTTATGATCCACACAGTCAAATGCCTTTGCATAATCAATGAAACACAGATAGACATTCTTCTGGTATTTCCTGCTTTCAGCTAAGATCCATTTAACATCAGCTACAATATCCCTAATACCATGACCCCTTCTAAACCCTGCCTGGACTTCTGGCAGTTCTCTGCTGACATGCTGTTCCAGTCGTTTTTGGATAATCTTCAGTAGACTCTTGCTTGCATGTGAAATCAATGATATTGTTCTGTAGTTTCCGCACTCAGTTGGATCACCTTTCTCTGGAATGGGAACAAATATAGATCTCTTCCAGTCAGTTGGCCAAGTGGTTGTTCTCCAGATTTCTTGGCACAACTTGGTGAGCATGTCCAGGGCAGCATCTGTTAGCTGAAATATGTCCTGGGGCCTTATTTTCTGCTATTTCCTTCAAAGCAGCTTGAACTTCTTCCTTCATCACCATAGGCTCTTGCTCAAATGTTATTTCATTAAATTCTTCGGTATCTGCCAATTCTTTTCAATACAATGACTCAGTATATTCCTTCCATCTTAATACCTCCTGGATCATTTAATATTCTGCCAAAAACATCCTTGATTATAGCAACTCTAGGTCTAAATTTGTTCTTCAGTTCCTTGAGCTTAAGAAATGCTGAATAAGTTCGGCCCTTTTGATTTTCCGACTCTAGCTCCTCGCACATTCCATTGTAATATTGTGCTTTGTCATTCCGTGCTGCCTTTTAGAATCTTCTGTTCAGCTCTTTAGTATCTTGAATTCTTCCTTGAGCTTTGGGTTCTTTAAGCTCCAGTGCAATCTTCAGAGTTTCTTCTGACATCCATTTTGGTATTTTCTTCCTCTTCTGTCTTTGTAATGGCCTCTTGCACTCTTCCTGGATGATACATTTGACATCCTCCCACTACTCATCTGGTCTTTGTTCATTAGTGTTCAAGGCCTCAAACCTGTTCCTGAGATGATTCTAAAATTCAGGTGGGATGAAATCAAAGTCATATTTTGGCTCCTGTGGATTCGGTTTAATTTTCCTAAGAAAATATTTTGTAACTAGATCTATATAGGTGATGGTTGCACTTTGTTAATGTCACTGGATTGTACACGTTAATTTTATTACCCTTACGTGTGCCTATTCAATCTGTTTGCTGAGAAAATAACTTGAGACTCTATGTTTAAGAAGAATGTGGCATCAAGATTGCAGGAAAAATGGAAATAGATGAGGAATGGAACTGCTTATAAGGAAGATATGATTAGATCTTTGCATAACAATAGTCAGGAATAAAGGCTGCATAGTAAAATGGACTGGGTGGGAGTGGGGGATTATACAATGAAAGAATTTTTTTTTTCAAAGAGAAAAGTTATTTGGGGGAGGGCAGGGGGAAAATATGCAACAATGAATGAATGGAAATCCAAGTACTCTATAAACTTTCAT